AAAAAACGTTAAATAATAAGTTTTAAAGATTAAAAATATTTTTCGTAAGTAAAACAATAAAAAATTTTTTTATTAAAATAAAGAGGCAAAATTGAAGTTTTAACCTAGAAGTCAGGACTCTTTTATAAGATTCTGCTTCTACGAAGAACTAGAAATTGCAACGGGCCATGCAAGTTTTGGGAGTACCTCTGCATTTTGATTCCCGCGAATGGATTTTTGAGGGGGAAAATTCGATCCGTCCCGGTTGCCTGCAAGGAATTGGTGCTTATAGGGTTCCTCCGCACCACTAATTTTTATTATAAAATTAATTTAATTATTTTTATTTTATTGTTTTAAAATAAAATCTAACATTCTTGCATATCTTACCATTTTACTTTGTCCTGATTTTTAAGTTTTATGACGATAAATTATATATTAAAAGTATAATTTAAGTTGTGAATTTATTTATATATTTTTAATGAAATAATATAAAAATAATTTTATTAAAAATATTTAAATAAAATTAAAAGTTAAATTATATTTTTAATATATAATTTATTTTGTAAAGTATTTTTTTGTGTTAATATATTATAAAAATTGTTAAATTCTTGAATAAATCAAATAGTCAATGATCTTTTAAAATTTTTAATAAATTCTTAATAAATCTTTAATAAAGTATTAAAAAATGTCTAATAGACTTTTTAAAATTTTTAATAAATACTAAATAAATACTTAATAAATTTTTTAAAATTTTCAATAAATACAAAGTAAATACTTAATAGCTTTTTTAGAATCTAAACTCAATTATATTTTCAATATGTATTTTTCTAATCTATATCCTAAGAATACAATTATTGCACTTTTTAACATTAATTACTATTAAAAAGTAAAAAATTGTTATTAATTTTACTACCAATACCATGCAAGTCATTTTAATTGAATAGTTACTAAAATAAATGTCAACTTTTATTTTTTTAATAATAATTAAATATTTTTCTAACTTGTGCAGATCTTAAAAATGTAAAAAGTCTTAAAAAGGTAAAAAGTAATATTTAATTTACCAACTGTCCAATTAAATTTATCCACATGACATCGACTCTAAAATTAATGTTTACTTTTACATTTTCCTATACAAATTTATTACAAAAATGTGCTTTTAAGACACAAGTTAGAAAAATCCAATAATTAATATAAAAGTATGATAATTACACTCTTATCTTCTCTATAATAATTTTTTAATGCAATTCTACAACTTTAATTATACAATAATTAATTTGACAAAAAAAAACATAAATATAATAACTTCCTTTTTTATATTTCAATTTCAAACTAGATCAACAACTTTGATTATATAATAATTTAAATTCAAATTCATTTATATCTTACTACATTATAATAGTACTTAATAATACTTTAATTATATCAAATTTTGTAGCAATTATTTTCAAATTTCTCTTCAATTATTATATAATAATGTGACTTCTAAATTTATACATTATTAAAATTTAAAACAATTTATTCAAATATATAATGTGTTTAGAGTAAACACATTGTATTATATTCAAAGTAAATTTAACAAATTGATTTTTATTTGCTCCATTATTTTTTGAAATAATGAAAAACTAATTAAGACATAAATAATTTTAGATACTTGTTTGATTGAAGTCCTTGACTTCTTCCTTGGCTTCTTGGGGATGGCCGTTCCTCCTGCAGCGCCTAAAAATTTGCCCATTTCAACTGCAGAACAAGAAACACCCAATATCAATCATACAATTCTATATTCTACATTCAGTGCTACAATGCAAAATTAAACAAACCTTCACTTAAAGCACTTGGCCCATAGAGCTCAGCAGCTTCTATGCATTCTGCACTAGTGAGATCCATGATGTTCAATACATCCCCCCCCTTCCTCACCAACTTCACCACTTTTTCCTCCTCATCCTTGTTTAAGCTAAACTTATTCTGGTTGGCTCATTTAGCCTTCCAGGATGACAACTCCCTCACCTCGGTATCCCCCCTCTCCCACTCCGTATCATCTACAAAAAAGAACTTTTCATTCCATCCTTTAATGGATGAAGGACCTGCAGTAAATAACGCTCTACTCTCCCTATTAGCTACCCTAGGGGTGAAATAATATCACCCCTCATCCTTTCTACTACCCCCCTTTAAAACAAAAAAATACTTAAACATATTCACGGTTGGCACTTTAATTCTCTGAGCTCGGCAATAAACTAAAAATCCTATTATTACCCTTATAGCGTTGGGGACTAACTGTGTCAACCCTATGTTGTAATCTAAAAGAATACCCACTACCAACTCAGGAATTGGAAACCTAAGCCCGGCTATCAAATAGTGGGCATACATGGGCATCCAATGATCCCGAGGAGCAGAACACGCTCTCTCCTCTACCCCAGCTGGTCTAACTAACACTCGGGAAGAGATCTCGTAATTCTCCACTAAGTGACCCAGGCTATCCCTGGTCCTGAGTTCAGATCTGTACTGCTTCACCTCTTCCACTATGTTTGCATCTACATCATAACATCTCTCTCTTCTACCCTCTACTTCTACCACAGTGATGGGTACACTATCCCCCCAACCCCCACCACCTCATTCCCCCCAACCCTCACCACCTCATCTCCTCTCACTCCCTCCACCGTTTTCTCTGAACTAGATGGAGACAAACTACTCTCTGAGTCCATACTACCATAATCAAGGGGCATCACCTCACTTCCTACTATACTTACTATTTCTTTTGAAGACATTTCCTCAATCTCTGCACGAAGTAGGGGGGAGGAATGAAGTTAGGACCCCTTAAAAAAAAAAAAACCCCTCTAACGCACATTCAAAATCATTCTCACTTCTAACCCTAACTTTCTTAAGAGGACTCTAAGTCAACCACAGAAAGGGAGAAAGGAGAGTGACACTTTGACTAAACCAAAATCAGAGGTTCGTATACATTACCTGATTTCGGTTTCAAAAGCTTGATGTAGAAATCCCCAAATGATGCAGCAGTTCACGTGTAGGAAGCACACAGTAAAGCTTTTTGCAGAAATTTTGCAGAAAATTAAATGCAAGTAAACTTCTTTTTGTAGAAAAATAACTATTTATACCTCTGGGCAAAATTAGATCTCAATGGTTGGGATTCGTTTAATCTTACGGTCCCTATTCACACCGTTTCGAATTCGACGGTCAACCCCAAACAGCACTGTTTTGAACTTGACGGTTTGTTTTTTTAAATCTGTCCGTTTAACTATTGCAATTATCTTTTTACGGCCGTATTTATTGCGCACGTCATTCAAAGGGCAGCTGTCACACCACGTACTGCCCCTTTATCAGACTTTTCAACTGAGCCCACTTAAGCCCATTTCAACACTCTTACTCACTTTTACACAATTTTTGCAAGTGTTTCACTTCGGCTCAAGCCACAGTGACCAAGTGTCACATGTTTCACTTCAGCTCCGGCCATTATGACTCCGATCATTATATTTTATCACAGCTCCGGCCATTATGACCCCGGTCATTGTAGTTTATCACGGCCCCTGCCATTACGACTCTAGTCATCATTGTTTATCATGGCTCTGGTTACATTACGACTCCGGTCATCACTTTTTATTACAGCTCCGGCCACCATGACTCCGGTCATCATCTCTTATTATGGCTACGACTGCATTGACTCCGATCACTATTTTTACCATGGCTACGACCACAACCGCTCCAGTCACATTCTATTTTGGGCATGCCCAGCATGACCCCCTATCACATACTTCATTATTAGCTATGGCTATGTATGCATTTGAGTTACAGATTTTACTTTTTACTTTTACTTCTGTAATTTATTCTTATCTTCTTTATTTATGCACTTCACCCATTATCCCCAACAACATCATTTACAAGTGAATGACTTCGGGGGGGAATAGTGTAAGGATAGGTCCGAGGTGCCCAGCCTCGGACTACTACGGTAATTACTTTATGACCGAAGTGAAGGATAAATCCAAGGCTTCCCGCTCAAACAGCTGCATGACAGCGACAATAAGCATGCCCGCACCTGATTCCTTATGATGAGCTGCACAGCAGTTATGATGGAGATCTTTGCATCTGAATATCTCTCAAATTCCCAGTCCCGGAATAATCGTCTAGATAGACACGTCAGGCTCCGATTATCTTGCTTGGCATGCCACGTGGGTTCCTCACTGGAGCCTATAAATACCCCCCAGGAGCCACGTCAAAAAGGTAATTGAAACCAACCCTAAGCTCTTTTTATCTCCGCTCTAAAGGTAGCCCCAATTATTACTGACTTAAGCATCGGAGTGTCTACTCCGAGTTCCACCTCGGGGCTTTGTACGTCAATCCGGAGTGCAGACGCGGACTGAAGAGGGACTTCTGGTTTGGTGCAATTACAAGTGTTGTAAGAAAAATTAATGAAAGGTGTTATAGGAAAATGAGAAGGTACTAAGAGAAAAAAAACGAATAAATTATATTTTTTATATTTTAATTTAAAGCCTCCTAATATGGGGCTTCAAAAAGGAAGACAATTGGGGATAAAATGGAAATATATAATAGTAATAGTTATAGATGTAAAGATAAAAAAAATTAATAAAGATTTGATGAAGTATTTTATTATGTTTATTTCAACCAATTTTAATAGGTAAAAAAGTTAAATATTTGTTTATAATAAATTAATATTTTTTTAAATTAATTTTTATATTTATTAATTAAAAATTAATTATAAATTAATATTATTATATTTAATAATTATTAAGAAAATTACAATACAAACCAACTGCACGCAGTTTTAGAGTTTAGGGTCTGTTTGGTACAATGGTTAAAATTCAGCGGATAGCGGGTAACGGGTAGCGGATAGCGGATAGCTGTAGCGGGTAGCAGGTAGCGGGTGGCGGTTAGCGGATAGCGGATGGCGGATAGCGGAAAGTGGGTAGCGGATGATAAATAGCGGATTCGATAAATATAACTGTTTGGTTATCCAATAGTTAGCGGTTGTTGTTTAACATTAAATGACTAATAATGACTTGTTTAAAAACAAAAAAGTGTATTTTTTAAAATATTTTTATTTTTTATTATTAAAATTATTAATTTTATAGAAAAAATTATATTATTTTTAAATAAAAATTAATCATTTTGT